ATTGAATGTCTTGTTATTAATCATAGTTTTCGATTTCAATCATTTAATAATTTATTATCATATCTATATCAACTTCGACATTTATCAATTAATTATCTTAATGGATTTGATTTAAAACATATGGAATTCTATCCTATCGTATTAAAAAATTTAAAATATATTTCACTTGAGCTTGATTTAGTTCCTTTCAATCAGCTGGAAAAATTAATAAAAAATTTCTTTTATTATGTTGAAGTTTTACGTCTTACAACAAAAGCTGATTCAACATATTTAGACGCAAAAAAGTGGGAACAATTAATAGTATCTTACATGCCAAATCCACGTATATTTGATATAAATCATGAAGGTTCTCAACAAATTAATCAAGTAACATATCATGATTTAATTAATCAATTTAATTCATCATTTTATATTGAAAAAAAATGGTTTTTTACACATCAACACTATTGGCAAGAAACTATTAAAAGTGGAATATTTTATTCAACAAATCCATATCGGTAAAAATAGATTCATTCGCTTTTATATTACCTCTCTTCTTTTTTTTTCTAGAAGAAAAGACTATACATTTTATTGGGAATTAGATGAACAACTTTGTTCACATCTTCAAGAAAAAAATTTAAATTCGGTTAAACATCTTCACATGTGTAGTAATCCAGTAACAGATACTTGTATAAATTATTTTCCAAATGTTACTTCATTAACTATTACGGATTCTTTTCAAACATCTGATGATCCAATATCACAAACTCTTAACCGAATGGTTTCATTAAAAAAAAGGTCAAATAAAGTGAGCTCCAAACTGCGTAAACTCCAAATTTGGAGCTCACTTACGCCTCCACGTTTTACTCATTGACCTCAGGTCAGGTTATAGTACAGGATTAATAAAATGAGCTCCGAACTGTGCTATTTCCACAGTTCCAAGCTCACTTAAGAAATCACCTGGGAGCCAGTAGCATTATCTGGGATGCAACTATCATTACCTGGGATGCTAGTAGCATTACCTGCAATGCTAGTGGCATAACCTGAGATGCTAGTATCATTACCTAGGATGCTGCTACATTACTATTGATGCTAGTAGCATTATAACGGATGCTGGTAGCATTACCAGGGATGCAAAAAGCATTACCAGGTATGCTAGTAGCATTATGTATTACCTGGGACGCTAGTAGCATTACCTAGGAAACTGGTGGCATTGTCTCTGAAGCTAGTAGCATCATCTGGGATGCTAGTAGCATTACCTGTGATGCTAGTAGCGTTACCTGGGATGCTAGTAGCACAACCTTAGATGCTAGTAGCATTACCTGGATGCCAGAAGCACCATCCGGTACGATACAGGCGTCATCTAGGATGCTAGAAGCATCATCTGGGATGCCAGTAGCATCAGCTGGGTTGCTAGTAGCATCCCAGGTGATGCTACTAGCATCACAGGTGATTTATCTATCGAACATCACATATAACTCTCTATCTTGTATTTCAGTCAAATGGGGTCTTACTACTAGAAAGCAGAAAATATGGACTGGATTTTATTGGTAAAACGTGGAGGCGTAAGTGAGCTCCAAATTTGGAGTTTACGAGTGGAGCTCACTTCACTTGACCTAAAAAAAATTACTAAATTAGTTGTTGAACCTTACAATTTTTATTTCGAAGAATTACTTCATCTATTATGTTTTACATCAAATTTATATATATTAAAATTTGATTCAATATGTTTTTGTAAAAATACAGTAACATCAATTCAACAAAAAGAAGAATTTCATCATATATCAGATGTAAACAAACTAAAACGTTTGCATATTCGTGAAACATGTACATTTGAAGAAATTAAAATGCTAGTCGATTTATTTTCTCAATTGCAATATCTTCAAACTGGCATGAGTCAAAAAGAAATTAAACAAATTATACCATTTTTATTATCAAAAACTAATGTTAAAACTAGGGATGTGCAGTTTCGGTGGAAACAGTGAATTACTGACAGTGACACACTGACACTGAGCGCACTGTTTGCAGTGACGCACTGTCACTGAGCGAACTGTCTCCAGTGACGCACTGTCACTGAGCGCACTGTCTGCAGTGATACACTGTCACTGAGCGCACTGTCTGCAGTGACGTACTGATACTGAGCGCACTGTCTGCAGTGACGCACTGACACTGAGTGCACTGGAACAGTGACCAAACTGGCACTGCGTACCACTGGAGCATTGAAAACACTGGAGCACCGACATTTATTGATATACCAGACTTATCTACATCAGTAAACGTCGGTGCTCCAGTGTTTTTAACGCTCCAGTGGTACGCAGTGCCAGTTTGGTCACTGCTCCAGTGCACTCAGCGTCAGTGTGTCACTGTAGACAGTGCGGTCAGTGTCAGTGCGTCACTGCAGACAGTGCGCTCAGTGACAGTGCGTCACTGCAAACAGTTCGCTCAGTGTCAGTGCGTCACTGCAGACAGTGCGCTCAGTGTCAGTGTCGTCACCGTATCGGTGAACGCCAGTGTGATTTTATCGGTGGTCAGTATACTGATACTGCACATCCCTAGTTAAAACAAGTCAATTGTTCTTCGTATGCATTAAAGGAATACCGAAAATATGTGTACAAGAATTAGATAAATTAATTAAATTTCAAAATTTACTTAAAGATTATTTTATTCAATTCATTAACTCTGATATTTATTTATGGTGGTAATCATTTAATTGTTTATGTTATATATTTTATATTATTGTATATGAACACTAATTTTTTCTTTTCAATAAATAAAATGAATTGCTCATATAATTATTCCATGTATAAAAAAAATACTAAAATGACTTTAGAAACATTAGTCAACGAGTTATTCATTGATTTCAATATTTCCATGCTATTTATCTTATTTGTGCTTTTTCTTGACTCAATTCTCGTTTTGATAACTTGCTTTTCCTACAATTTCGATTTGACAGCAAATCTTATTTTGACATTATTTATCAAGAATGTCTCCCAAAAAATCATTGATCAAATTATTTCGTTGCATCTCACGAATGATGGCAAAATACTGAATATATCTAAATCTTTTCTTCCTCGTTGTTTCACTCTTGACCATTTGAGAACATTTTTTCCAGAAAAAAGAAAACCTCCCAAGTTATTCAGCATATATAATTAATAATTGTTGTTCGATATGATTCGATTGCAAAAATACTACGAATATGTTTTCATTATTCATTTTATTAAGTTAATCACAAAAAAAAATAATGTTACAACAAAGGAAAATAAGTATAGAAATATTTTGAATATGCAATTTTTTTAGGACATATATCTAATTCTTTTACTTTCATACAATTCAATCGTGTTCTATCGTTTGTAAAATTTCTCGTGACGCTTCTTAAATGATAGTAATTTACTGATAATACGGTTAGACGAGGTAGATATGTTTTTTTATCATTAAGAAATTGGTCGATATAATCACGATGACCCCATGAAAAACAAAGCGAAGTAAGATAAGGATATTCAATAGGTGTTGAGTATAATTGATTATCATTAGAATTTAATATTGGTGATTGTGGCGTAGAATTAGAAACAGTTAATACTTTAAGTAAAGGAAAACACGAAGCAATTCGCATGAAAAATTCATGTTCAAATGCAATGCTATCATCCACCACCAATCTTATAACATGATTGAAAATAATATTTGGAAATCCATTATCAATAGAATGGAGATCATCAAACATAAATGGTAATGAAAATAAATGATATTTCAAATCACCATGACGTCGATACTTGATCATACATTCGACTTGTTGATCTATAATGTTAGTAAAAGTTTGTAGAATATCATCTTTATATAAATGATGAGCGGAATGATCCAATCGAGCAAAGATTAAAAAACAAAAGTTAAATGTATGAAGTCGTGGTATATGAATAAGAATTTCATCATAAATATTTTTACCATCAATAAATCGAGCTGGCCTACCAATAATAAGATTTAAGTTTAATACTTCAATATTTGACATACGACGTAAAAGAGGTAAAATTTCACCATCATATGCATCATATGAACAATCATATTGCAAAGAAAAACATTTCAAATCGGATAGATTCTAGAAAATATAAAACAATATTGAAATGTAATATTATCGATTAGAACAAGATAGTTCCCACAAAATAATTCATTGAAAACTAGTTCTATTAAAATTTTATTTATTTTAAAATATTTCTTCCATTTTA